AAAAAAAAAAAAAAAAAGGCAAATATAAATCCTGTATTTTAAATATTTTGCTAGCAACTTTCTGTTTAGTATTTTTCCCTAGGGAAGTTTTATTTGTTTGTTTTGGAGATGAGTCTGTCTGTGTTGCCCGGGTTAGAGGGCACTAACACGGAGGTCCCTAACCCCTGGGCCATGGACTAGTAGGAACCTGACCTCACAGCAGGAGGTGAGCGGCAGGTGAGGAAGTGAAGCTTCATCTGTATTTATAGCCACTGCCCACTGCTAGCATTACCACCTCAGCTCTGCCTCCTGTAAGATCAGCAGTGGCATTAGATTCTAATAGGATTGCAAACCCTATTGTGAACTGTACATGTGAGGGATGTAGGTTGTGCTCTCCTGAATCTGATGCTTGATGATCTGTCACTGTCTCCTATCACCCCCAGTGGGACCACCTAGTAGTAGGAAAACAAGCTCAGGGCTCCTCCTGATTCTACATTATGGTGAGTTGTATGATTACTTTATTATATATTATAATGTAATAATAATAGAAATAAAGTACATAATAAGTGTAATGCACTTGAGTCATCCCAAAACCTCTCTCCCTAGCCCCATGTTCATGGAAAAATTGTCTTCCATGAAATGGGCCCCTGGTGCTCAAAAGGTTAGGGACCACTGCACTAATACATAGATTACTACAGTCTTGAGCCCCTGGGCTCAAGTGATCCACCCACATTAGCCTGGCAATTAGCAAGGACTACATGGGCACACCACCATGCCTGGTTAATTTTTTCTTCTTTCTTGTAGAGTCGAGGTTTTGCTATGTTGCCCAAGCTTGTCTTGAACTCAAGCCTCTGCCTGCCCCAGTCTCCCAAAGTCCTGGGATTACAGGTGTGAGCCACCAGCCCCAGTGGCAACATTCTATTTAAATCCTTAGGGTTATTAGGTACAGGAGGTATTTGGCATTTTTCATGAAGCAGGTATATTTGAACTGCTATCTTATTTTCTCTTGTGCAATATATCTTTTCAGAATGAGAAGAATACCTTTGTATATACTAATATATATGTGGCTCTTTTCACAAATGCAAAAATAATCCAATAATAAATGAAATAAAGCACTGCTGCTGAGCAGCATAATGAAAATTTTGCTATCTACTAATGACGATTCAAAAGTGTAATCTTGATAACAAAACCATGTAATACCATTGCATTTCTTTTTTTTTTTTTTTGAGACTGAGTTTCACTCTTGTTGCCTACACTAGAGTGTAATGGTGTGATCTTGGCTCACTACAACCTATACCTACGGGGTTCAAGAAATTCTCCCGCCTCAGCCTCCTGAGTTGCTAGGATTACAGGATTACAGGCATGTGCCACCACACCTGGCTAATTTTGCATTTTTAGTAGAGACAGGGGTTTCTCCATGTTGGTCAGGCTGGTCTCGAACTTCTGGCCTCAGGTGATCTGTCTGCCTCGGCCTCCCAAAGTGCTGGGATTACAGACATGAGCCACCCCACCAAACCATACTATTGCCTTTGTATGAAAAAAAAAAAAAGGTTTCTTTACTGATTATATATGTCAGAAAAATCATAATGTTAGTCAAACTTTATTTTTCCAATCTTTCCAGGTTATCTTATTTAAAATATACATTGTTCATTGCTTTTGCATATTGTAATACTGAGCCTAGAATTAGCACTTAATAAATTAGTGTTGACTCAATTAATATGGAGCTTGTATATGACTATTTAGAAAACGTGTTTTAGGGCTGGGCATGGTGGCTCATGCCTGTAATCCCAGAACTTTGGGACCTGAGGAGTTCAAGACCAGCCTGGACAACATAGTGAAACCTGGTCTCTACCAAAATACAAAAAATTAGCCAGGCATGGTCGCGTGCACCCGTAGTCCCAGCTAACCAGGGGCTGAAGCGCAAGAATCGCTTGAACCCGGGAGGCAGAGGTTGCAGATTGTGCCACTACACTCTAGCCTGGGCACCAGAGCCACAGTCTGTCTCAAAAAAAAAAAACAAAACAAACAAACAAAAAATTCCCAAGTGAGCGCAGTGCCTCATTATCTGTATAACTGTAGTTAATCCCAGCACTTTGGGAGGCTAAGGTGGGAGGATCACTAGAGCCCAGTAGTTGGAGACCAGCCTTCGCAACATAGTGAGACTTTACAAAAAATAAAATTTAAAAATTAGCTGAGTGTGGTGGTGTGTGTCTGTGGTCCCAGCTCCTTGGGAGACTCAGGCAGGACAATAGCTTGTGTCTAGGAGGAGGAGGTTGTAGTGAGCCATTCTCAGGCCACTGCACTCCAGCCTGAGTGACAGAACGAGTCCTGCCTACAAAGAGAAAAGAAAGTTGAGTATCTTTAATTTGAATTGGTATCTTGATAAAGTGTGGCTGTGGTATTCATTATTAGCTATTTGCTAAGGCATGGAAACTGAGTTATTAGAGCTAGGAATCTGCTGTAGTTGTCCACCCCACACTTGAACTTAGGTAGAGGTTGAATGAAAATTGGAATTAAAAAACGTCCACGAAGGAAAGTGGGAAAAATTTTAAGACAATTTTAAACAGAGAATTAGATCTGTCTGCGTGCTACATAGTTTGTAGAAATTTACTATGAAGTTATTTTGAATGACATTAGTGCAATTGGGTCGACTGTATGTGGGTGAGGGAGGAAATAAAGGTCAAGAATTTTGAACTAAGAAATCAAATACACGTGCAACTAGTGAATTGCTTTGCTCCAAACTTTTCACCTTGGATACTGTAATTTTTTTGTGTTTTTGTTATAAAACATTAATCTATATCAAGCATCATTTCATCCATTTGTATGCTT